TATTAATCGGACATATTTGGATATAGCCTGCTGTAGTAGGTATGTTAGTGAACGTCTCATATTTGTTTCCTGATGGATGTGTTGTATCAAAGTCTTGTTGGTTTAAAAACAAGTTAATTTCATTGTAGTCTGCTTTCCAAACATTTTTTTTGGTGACTTTGTGGGTTGGTCTATCTTTGCATTTGAGCTGTGATTTAGCCATGATCACAACGTGGTCACTGTGGCCTATTGGTGCATCATGGTTTATATCAAATACTAGCTTTTTATCATTGACCAGAATAAGATCAAGTAACGATTTTTGATCATTTCTAAAATGAGTTGGAAAGTTTACAACCTGATAAGCATTCATCAGGTGGTAATTTTCTAAGAAAAATTGATTTGATTTTTGAATTATATAAACTCAAATTTTTCCAATTTAGTTGGGGATAATTGAAGTCTCCCACGATAAATAATGGAATTTCCAGAGAACACGCTTCTGTTATGGCTGAAATCATTTCTATATCAGTTTCCTCTGTGGAGTTATCTGTTCTATGGATGCAACATAACAAGAGATTTAGGTTGTCAATTCTTACATCAATCCATAAAGATTCAACAGGAAGGGTTGTTGTGTATTTTGTTGATATGCATGAATGTACTTTGTGACCACTGATTTCCTCTTTGATGTAATTACATATCCCACCCCCTGATAGGACTCTGTCTTTTCTGAATAGGGTGTATCCGGCTAGACTAATCAGGCTGTCGTCTAATCGATTATTGAGCCAAGTTTCCGTTATGAATATAAATGTAGGTTGGTACTTTTGAATTGATGCTGTCCATTCTCCAATTTTTTTTGTTGAAGACTGTACATTACTTTACCATAGGGCGACTTTAATGATTGAAATGTTTAGTTTTTTGAAACATTTCTGGTGACAATAATTTTTGGTGTAGAGTTAAAATATTTTATCCTTAAGTTTTCCTCACCTTGTTCTGTTCGTTTTTTGAGCGCTTCAATAGTTTCTTCCAGGAAGTTTCTTTGCATTGGCGTTAAATCAGCTTTTATACAGATGCCATGATGGGTGATGGCTCTAACCAACATCACCATTTCTTTCATGAGGCTAGACCACTCTGGAAGCATGAAGCATGTATGCTAAGTGGAGCAGAAAAGGACCAAAAGTTCAACTCTGGAATCGTCATGACAGATGTCGAACGAACTTGTGACCGAGACTGGCATGACGAACGAATTCACGCCGACTATTTAGCAAAGACTCTCAAACTGGTTCAGAATTACTCGACAGGTCGGACTTTCTTCGTGAACATTGGTGACAACTATTTAGAAATCAGAAGATTGTGTTAACACTATCCTTAAGGTCTTTGAGAATATAGTAACTATTTCAACTTACTCAAGGCTCACTGGGGTAGTGATAGTCTCAGTTCTGCAGCTATGTTGCTGCTCAGTCTTCCTTAACCTCAGAGCATGAACCCACCGAATGTTTATCCAGTATGAGCGCTTACCACAACCTGTTCCAGATAAATGCATTCTCGTGGCATTTTACTTGATCTGATTTTCACCCAGGACTCTGAGGATACTTGTCTTTTAGCTAATGACATTATCCTCCCCATTGATGCATATCATCCTGCTTTACTTTTTGCCACCTGCAATAAGTCACCTCACTGCAATGCTGACGTCCCCAGCCTGACGCGTACCATTATGATTTTGGGTCTGCTGATTACGCACTCCCCAACGATAACCTTGGGATGGTTCGCTGAGATGACTTACTATGGGGTCTCGAATAGGGTTGCCAACCCTCCCGATTTAGGCGGGAGACTCCCGCTTTTTTGTCATGCCTCCCGCCGTTAAACATCGCGGCTAAAAAACTCCCGCTAACTCCCGCTTTTCAAAAATTTCGCATTTGGCTAGAGGAAGATAATAGAAATTCAATATTTAGCAAAAGAAAACTATATTTTTGAAAACACGTACCATCTATAAAAAAAAATCCTATTCACAATCCGATGTCCACAGGTACAGGTAAATTTATCACCTTTCCCGATCAAATATCATTGAAAGGTGATAAATTTTACCTGTACCTGTGGACATCGGATTGTGAATGGATAATACCATCGATCACGCATGCAAGTATGTACTATTGCATATCATTTATGATAATAAATACCCACCTATCAGGGGCGTCGCGTCGGGGGGGAGGGGTTAATGGGGGTAATTACCCCCCCAGGATCGAATAGTCGAGAGAAAAATCACGATGCCCAGAAGAAAATAGATAAATATAATGAAGAAAATATTTTTTTTTTATGGTTTATTTTCTCACAAAGGCAATAATTGTTTTGGAGAAGTGAATGAACTGCCACCTATACTCAAATAGGTACCTACTTAATATGTTTTTTTTTCATTCACCACCTAAATCATATGAATATTCAGTTTGTTCGGACTTAGTTCAGAATCAGTTCTGATTGAACTGCGCTTACGTATTTGGTCATATCGATCATGTATTACCAACTGCGCAATTCAGAATTGATTCTGAAATAAGTCCAAACAATCTATCATTAACAGTTCTGAGGCTGACCATTTGACGGGCTGTTATTTTTAATGACTGTTTCGTAAAAATTTGGACATGGTACCCAAAACTTCAAACCTCCCGCTTTTCCATTTCAAAAACTTGGCAACCCTAGTCTCGAAATGAGGGAAATGACCAGGGTTTACCATGACGTTCTCTATACGGCTATCGATTGTTGTGTACGAAAGAAGAAGCTCTCAAGCCATACATTTTCACGATGGTTCTCCCTTGACCTAATAATAATAAAGAAGAAAAGTGCCCACAGAACTTGGAAGCAGACAGGTTCCCCTGCTGACTATGTTGAATTTTCACACCTTCGGGTTCAGTGTAAAACTCTTTCCAAAGATTGCTATAAAAATGATATCATATCCTCAGAGGTGTCATTGCTTAAGAATAAAAATCTAAAACATTTCTGCAACTTTGTCAATGCTAGACAACAGACTTATGGACTCCCTTCTTACATATTTTATGACGGTTAATTCGCCAAAACTGGACCTGAACTAGCTAATATTTTCGGTGCATACTTTCATTCTGTATACTCAGACAAAGCATGTGTTATTGGCCACAGCATTTCTGATAGTAACATGACTTTGAAATCTCCATCTCAATTATTCATGAGGAACTGTGTAAGCTACGGATCTCTCATGGACCTGGCCCAAATGGCATCCCTCTTCTGATGCTCAGGAGGTGTAGCTTTATACTATCTCGTCCTTTGTTTATTTTGTTCAAGGAATCACTTAGTAGTGGGGTATTTCCTGAGATTTGGAAGCGGAGTTTTATCAAGCCCATCCATAAAACCGGTGACCAAATGGACATTACCAAATACAAGCCTGTCAGTATCCTTAACACTATCCCTAAGGTCTTTGAGAATATAGTAACTAAATTCTTAACTCCTATCATCAACTCTTGTCTAATCGAACAGCAAGCAGCTTTCCGGCTAAAATGCTCGACCGAAACTAACCTCCTGACGTACCAGGATAAAATCTAAGGCATTCTTGAAAGCGGTGGAGTTGTTCACTCTATATATAGTACCGATTTTGCTAAAGGCGAGGCTTGAGAATATTGGGATATTTGGTACTCTACTTGCGTGGATCAGCGACTACCTTACAGAATTCAAACAGTCCAAATCACCAATTAATGCTCACAGCCCATTATTGACATCCCCTCAGCAGGTGTACCACAAGGATCTCACCTGGGACCCCTGCTATTCAATATTTTCATCAACGATATTGGTTCTTGTTTCATTAATAATGAGTTTCTATGTTTTGCCGATGACTTAAAGATATTCGCCCGAGTCTCCTCCCACGAAGACTGTGCCAGACTACAATCTGACTCGGATAAGCTTTCCGAATGGTGTGTCACAGGTGGCATAGAACTCAATGCCTCTAAATGTAAAGTTATCGTTTTCTCTAAAAGTCAAAGCCCCATACAATTTGTTTACCAAATAAGCAATGAACCACTTGAAACAGTGTCTCAACAACGTGATCTCGGTGTCATTTTTGATAACACGTTAAGCTTCTCCAGCCACATTTCGGATATCGCTACCAGGTCTCTGAAACTGCTGGGCTTTGTTAAGAGGTGTTCAAGGGACTTCACTAACATTTCTTCCATCAGGCTTCTCTACTGCACAATGATAAAGCCCATCCTGAAGTACTGCTCCTCGGTTTGGTCACCTATGTATTCTGTCCACATCAACGTCTTGGAGCAGGTGCAGCGTAAATTTATACGGTACCTTGCCTTCAAGGCAGGTACAACTCCCGAAAATTAAATCTACAACTATGATGACTTTACCGACGCTTCAACCTGCAACCCTTAGCCGCCAGACGAAATCAAAGTGATTTAAAGTCTGTTTTTTTTTAAAGATAATTCCCCAAGTCAAAAATTTAGTAACTTTGTTAGCAACACAAGCCTTTTCTTCATTAAAAATTTGAAAGATTGACAATATTACAGTATTGCCAACATAATGTCATTTTGACTTTTATCTTAAAAAAAAAAAACACAGATTTCAGTATCATTTTTCAAAATACTGAACTTCCATATACCTACTATCCAGAATTGGCCCTTATGCCCGAGCAAGAGCCACACGCTCTTCGACTACCTTCTCAGACAAGATCCACCGGACTAACTATGGTTTGAATAGGTACTTTAATCTCTAAAGCTTCCCGAATCTCTAATGAGTTCAATACTCTGGAGTTTATAAAAAGCCAAGTTTTCTTGACTGACCCCACCACTGGTAAGTAAATTGAACCGACTCGAAACAAGGCAAGAGCCAGTAGGCTGTGTTAATGAATCGCAAAAGAGCTATGAATCTGAAAACATGTATATCGCAGACTTTTTTTCCTTGTCAACTGCTCAGCGCTCTGATGGCTAGCCAAGTATGGAAACGGTACGCACTACGCAGTCTCCTGTGCATAAGTGAAAATCACCAAAATCTAACCTATAACAACTTACTGAGTAACTCTGGGCGGTTCACCGTCATCATCAATTTCATCACTTTGCGTCTCAGTTGCTGTACTATTCTGACTAACAAACAAACCTCTTCGAAACATACTTGATGGACCTATATGGAAAAAATTAATTTAAAATTTGGTTACTCTCTCATGACATCCAAACTAACCTGTAAATGGATCTTCTTTAAAAAATTCCAAATCCGAAATACACTGTACCAATTCGTTACCGCATACGTTGGGGGAATGTACGCCGCTTGGTGACACGTCACGTTGATTGTTGACTGATAGTGTTGAAATAGAGGGCAATAGCGTTTCCATTTTGTTTTTGGATTTTTTCCTTTTGAGTACAGAGATTTTCTTAAAAACCTGTAATAATTATATTTTTCAAATATAGTATATAAACTTTGTTTCACGAGGGTTTATACTTTTGACATAATTTGCCTTCCTTTTTTAACAAATAGAAATTGACTGAAACAAATCAATGGCGTCAAAAACGTTCGTCGGTTCTTAAACCAGAAGTCATTCATTTTAATTTGTCAAAAAAATTGAATGTGTCATATGAATTAATCTACGACAACCCTTTTTTTTTCAAGTTATATAACGTCTTTGATGTCAAAAGTATAATTCCTCGTGAAACGAACTGTAGTTTAACTGAACATGTGGATTTCCTAACTTGTGGATTTTGTGGATTGTCCTTGAAATAAATTTGCCATGTTGCGACAGAATTGAAACTTTTATCAGCAGCGTAGCAGCGCCACAAGCACTGAATCAACATGGCGGCCGCTGGTATTTGCCTGTTGAAATGTTTTTGGCGTTGTTTTTGTTGAACTTTCAGCGCAAAGCCTGATCCTAATATACCCTGAAATCAGAAAGAAAATATTATAGTCGTCTTATTTGCGTCAAAAATGGTGTCCGACCAATCACACTCCAGCCAGTATATGCGGTGGAAATATGTAGTTGAAAATACATTTAATATTAGGTACCTATTTAATTTATAATTGGGTACGCCTTTTTTGAGCTTTTGAGATCCTGGCAAAGGTAAATCTATGTCAGGGATGCGACCATGCCCACCACTACCCGTAATTTACAATGTCCTAACAGTAACAATTAAATGTAATCAAATAATCAAAATTTGAATCTCCGATAATGCACATCAGTATCAATAACTTGAAAATGAAACAAATTAGCGTTGACCCCAAAACAATTAAAGTACATATTACTATACGTTCAAATTCTATTAGTTAGGCCCGGTTGTACCAATAATGGTTCAACACAAGTTCTGTTGAACTGCAGTTCACTGTTGAACGTGGTTCAGAGTTTCGAGTTTTGTACCACTGCAGGTTTACCTGAACTATCAGTTGCAATGCCCACAATAAAAAAAAGGAAGAAAATAGGCACAACCTAACCCATGACCTATGAAAGTTATTGTTTATTTTCTATGTTTTCCTATTTTCTATTTATTTTCATATTTTTGTTACACATAGCACACAGGATAGATCACAGATGCAAAATTTCATCTATGATAAATCTCTCAGTTTGTTTCTCCAACCTAAATCTGTCCTTGAACTCTTCATCATTCCAAATATTCAAATGATCTGTTCAATTTCTGAATAGGTACCTGTGGGGCTCGAGGGTGTGCAACATTATCAAGTAATTTTAAAAAATCTTCGTCGTCTGTAATATCTTCCCACTTCCCACAGTTCCCACTCAGATCCATTTTTAATTAAATAAAATACCAAATATCAACTTGAAAAAAAATATATTCAAAGCCAAGATGATCCCTCATCAAAAAACAAACAAAACCTAGGAGAGTGAGGTTAGAAAAACCCAAAAATGATTTGAACGCTGAAATTCGGACGTTCAAGATCAACATCAGTTCACAGTCTGAACCGACCATGTACAACGAGTTTTTTCATTTGTAGCACTAGTCAGTGTGAACTTCGGTTGAACGTCCTTTGTACAACTGGGCCTTAGTCACCAAGAATGTGTCATCACATAAATCAAATCTATAATAATATTGAAATCAAGGTAAAAGTAATTGAATTGGTGATGTATGGTCGACACCAGTTTTTCGGCATCATTTGAGTTATTCGTCTTCACATTCTAACAACAAATCTGTTGACCCCGATAATCCAGGAAATTGCGACATAATTAATAATTATTCGGTTTTAAACAAATAAATATATTTCTTAGAAAAAAGAACGGCCAATGAATTGACATGACCCGGAATATTTTGGAGAGGAATGAAAAATATAAAAACAGCGGTGTCGGAATTTTGGAATCAGTTTAAGTTTAGTCTTCAGTTCAGTCTTGAGTTTAAGTCTACAGTACCTAATGAGTCACTCCGGATAAAATTCGCGAGAGTTTCTTTTATTTTGTCACCTCGGGAAAACGCGCTAAATCGAATTTGAAAAAGTAAAGTGAGAGAAAGAACATTTAAATTCGTTCAACATTATACATATGTGCAAGCTCTAAGTAATCAAAAGAATTATTTTAAATTAGTTTAGTGTTATATGAACGGAATGTAAGTACTCTAGTGACAAGTTTTATTTTGACTTTATTAATGTTGAAATGACTATGAAGTGAATTGACTATGAAACTTTATTGCATAACTATTATTATCTTGGGTGAATTGACTTTGAATATTTTTCTGCTTAGTATAGACAGAGAAATATAATTCAAATTACTGTTAATTGAAATGAATTTTACTGAAGAGATTGGATAATCAAATTGACTATTTTGTTCCGTTTAGCAAATGAGTTAGATATTTTGGTTTCTAATTAAATGAATTAAGATAAAATATTCATTGTTCTGATAGTATTTACCCTAGCTAAGTACACGATTTTTGAGTATAAGTATTTTACAAAATTTGGCAGTAAGCAATTTCAGGGATTTCATACGTTTATAGAACAGGAAGTTATAATAATTCAACTAAATTATGAATTATTGTTTCGAGGTGAAAAAGGTGTTTAAGAATCAAAAATATTGTACCTAACATAGTAGGGCTATATGAAAGGGTTATTAAAGCACTAGGCTTTTTGATTGCATCATTTGATTAACAAGTTCAGAGAAAGTGTAGAGGTGGCTGAACGAGTGCATCAATTTAGAACTGTTTATTTTTGTTCAGAAAAGTGTTGGATCAGGGTTTAGAAAATTTGTACCATTGTTATAGGAAATGAAAATCTGGTTATTTTCTTATTAATAAAGTATACTTATTAACGGATAACCATATAAAATCAGTTGTTTCTTTCAATTGCAAATAGACCTGCCCTCACAATTCCATTTTTCAGTAGCTGCCCAAGGAAATAATAACCATCAAATAAGACCGCTCGCAATTTACCATCTAACCTAAATAATAGAGTACTTGGCGCGGATGCTACAACAGCTTTAATTTTTTCACAACAGAAAATTATGGAGAGACCAGGTCCTAACTCTTCAAAATCTCCTTCAATACTTTTCCCATACCCTCTTTCTTCTTCCATGCCACCTTTCAACCCACCTTGTCTATAGCCACCGAGCATCGTGAAGGAAAACGGCCAATAGAAACCTCCCAACCAACCAACCATGGTTAGTTATTACAGTACAGAACATTTGAAAGAGAATCCATCAACTTTGGCAAATCCCTCACCTTGAAAAAGGTCTGGAGAGAACAGTGATTCGCACATGACTTTCGAAACCAGAAAATCTCAATATATTTTTAGTAACATACAACAGCAGGACATTGCGCTTTCAATACTGGAACTGGAAGATGGATAATGAAAACCACGACTTCTAGATCAATTTTAAAAGTGTAAATACCGCGCCGAAATCCATTACCGGCAGACTAACGCTAGTGCAAAGTACCTAAAATGGGAAAAGCCCCTCTAGCTAAGTCTCCTCCCAGTGAAAACTACCTTTAATGGGAAACGCCCTTCTGGACCTGTCTCAAACCTAGCTTCTTCTGGGACCATTGGAGGCAGCAGACTAGGTCCAGTGCAAACTACCTTTATTGGGAAACGCCCTTCTGGACCTGTTTCAAACCCAGCTTCAGTCACGCCGTCGCCAAGTGTACAGAGTGTACATAATACAGAGTGGCCTATAAGTAGTACGTCCCTCCGTAGAAGAGACGTCATGATACCATTTCTTCTAGGGTAATATTATTGTTAGTCAATACATATCTTATTATACCTATACCAAGCGAGTTTCTCTCTACCTGAACCCCACCTACGCCCCCAAGTCACGCTCCTGTTGTGACGTCCCAGGACGAAACGTATAGGGGTTGTGACATAATTCTCTAGTACATACTACATACTATAGGTATACGAGAGAAATCATTTAATAGGAATGAGTGTTGGTTTTCTAGTGCATAAAAAATAGATAAATAATAATAGATATAAAAAGCATTAGTAGGTATAGGTATGTACGTGATATAGGTACTTATATAATTATAAAGAGAAAAAGACATACCTTTATTATTACCTACATGCAATCCCAATAATCCGGAATCGGGATAGTGATTACAAACAAACGAGAAGTTATAGAAACTAACGATAACAACTAACGAAAATGAGTAGCTAGTGATCAATCAAGAAAAATAGACAGCGAAAATACTACATGAGAAGTTTAGATCTACTGGATTGTTGTTGATTTCATGCCAAATTCAGGCAGTAGATGTACCTTAACTATATAGGAAATCTAATGTTATTTTTTAATTTTTAGCAATGGTTTTCCGATCGGCGATCAAAGATCACTTCACTTCTGTCATTAATATTGTCAGTAGATAGGTACATAGAAGCTCAAAAGAATATTGGAAAGATATACCTAAGGTGTGAGGGGTGACGACAACAAAACAAGGAAAGTTGACCCGACTGACAACCTTACCTGTACGTGGTGCACCCTGCTACATAACCAGCGAGACTCTTTCAACCAAATGATTACCGGTATAAGTAATCCCCTCTTGTTAGTCAACAGCTTCGGGTGCAAGAATTGGCAAGTGGTAAAGGCGGATGAACTACGACATTAGTCAAAGGCATTGGGATGCGGAAGGCATCATGAGTAACCACTACATTAAAGGCTTCAAAAGCAACCCTATAGTATTTATTCACATGGCAATGTTCAAACTAAATAACGATTCTGGAGTAACCACCCCAGTCGGATCTCCGAGGCGAGCAAGTATGAACAATAATATGAAGTCGCAAACATTCTGCCAACAACATACAAAACTGGGTAGGTACCTGGAATCTGGAATGTGAGAATCATGGTCCCAAACAGGTAAAATACAAAAGCCCATCAAATAAATAGAACGGGTAAACATCAGAATTTGGGGAATAAGTAAAATGATATAGCCGAATGCAAACTACTGCGATATTCAAAAACATAGAATATACTACTCAGGATGTCCCTTCGAAACATGAATACAGAGTGGGAATCATACTGCACAATTCAGTTAGACAAAATTTCTCAAACGTTGTGCCCGTCATTGAAAGAAAAATGCTAGTTCAAATAAAAGCAATTCCAGCAAATGTCAACATTATACAAGTTTATGCACCCACAAGTGAACATGAAGAGGCAGATATAAGTAACTCTTACACCCTCATGAAAAAAATCCCTAAAAAAGAACTGCTTATAATGATGGGTGACTTTAATGCAAAAGTGGGAAGAGGAAGATCAGAAAACCAGTGGACCCCTTGACTTTGGAGAAAAAAATGCGTGTGGAGAAAAGCTTTGTACTTTTGCAGGAGAAAATAATTTAGTCATATTGAACACATTTTTCGAGCTACCTCCGCGCAGATCATATACCTGGAAAGCCCCAAAAGATAGAAAAGATAGTACAATCATACGAAACCAAATCGACTATATAATGGTAAATCAAAGATATAG